TTTTTTTTTTTGATACAGAAGGTACCATAGAGTGTGTGGCTCATGTCATATTTCTAAGGAAGCTCTTCTCTGTTTCAGTCACCTTTCTACTAAATACCAAATATCTTCCAACTTTCTTAGCCCATCAGTCAAGACTTTCCAAGGCCCTAAGCTCCTTTACTATATAGTTCTTGTCTTAACGAGTCATTCAGTCCAGCAAAACTAGCCTAATCACTTGTCCCCAAACGTGCCACACCTTTTCGCCTCCTTGCTTTTGCTTACAATTTCTTTTGCCTATAAATATCAAAGTGTTTTATTCCTTCTGAACACCAAAAAAAAAGGTCACTTTCTTCATCTCGTTCCATGCCTCCATGGATTCTACTGCTATTTTGTGTGCTTTACATTAAAATATTACCTTAAAAACAGTTGGTGTTTAAGATGTATTCAAAGGCTTTGGGAAGACTTTGGGTTTTTATCTTCAGCTTTATTTTATTTTTCCGGAGACCTGTCCAATTACTTTGGGAAGAGTTTAAAAATGTGTGTATGTATCTATCATTGTGTTTTCTGTAAATAAAATGTATGTGTTGACCTCTAGCAGGGGTCTTAAGGTTGAAAAGAGATTTAGTATTCACTACTTAATAGTTTTACTTATTATTATTTTTTTTTACCCCTTGTGAGATTTATGGCATTCTGTTTTTATTTAATAAATTCTAACTTACAAGGTTTCTTCTGGCCAAATTGTAATAAATACATTTCTGATTATAAAATGATAAATAATTTTAAGAAGCTGAAATATATAGAGACAAGGAACAGCAACAGTTTTCAATCAAGTACTGGCAGATGAGATCTCATTTACTAAACATACTTTATTATACATACATAACTGATCTCTTACTAATTTTTATATATTCATTATAAGCACTTTTATTGTTCAGAATTGATGTCAGCTTACTTGACATACACTTATTTTAATTTTCTTTAAAATTCTGAGTATTTCTTGTAATTAAATATTCCACAACACCTTATTTTAATTCCATCCTGTGAAAATAGGTTTTCTTCTCACTCCCTTATTTTTAATATTTTGGTTAATACAGTTTTTACTATTTAAAATAATGCTGCAATGAACGCACTTTTAGATAAATCTTTGCTTATATCTGGCATCAATATTTGAAAACATGTTTGTGTTTAACAGGTATTAATGAGGTTGAAAACTTTTCTATGCTTCCTAGGGCCTGATCTTTGTATTTCCCCACATACCTGGTCAGCGTTAAGGCCTGAATGAGGGTATCTGTAACGGCTTCCGTGTATCTTCCCAGATGAAGCTCCAGATGGCCCAGGAACTTGTGAGGAAACAGATGGAGGAAGCCTTAACTCAGGAGGCCAGTGTGGGGAAGAAGACTGTCATTTGGAAGGTAAGAGAATATTTTGGGGCTTCAGGAGGCTAGCTTGTCTGAAAGATCCAAATTTGGGTCATTGGATCGTTCTTCCACCATCCTCCCTGCCCCAGGACATTTGCTCCATCTACATAGGTACCCAAGAAAAACATCTCAGCATCATTCTGGATCACCTCAGCCCCTCAAGTTAATATTGTACAGCTGTGTTCTTTTTATCGCTGTTAACACTACCCCAATGCAAATTAGGAATAAATAACCTTTACTGATCTTGACCTTGCTGTCACTCACTGCTGCATTCCTATTACCTAGAACAGAGTCTTGCAGTGTCCCTCCTGCTTTAAAAATTACATCTTTGTTGGATGAATGAAATAATAAATATTGCACAGCATTGATAAATACAGAATACAGGCTGATAGTGATCATCTTACTATATGTAAAATAATCTGAATTTTCAGTGTCTTTTCAGTCATTCAAATATGTATTTCTCTCTTTTCTACACCTCATCTGCTCCTTTTTTCTCTTACTTATATAAATACGCAATACACAAACATGCACAGAGGGGTTCTGAACCTGGGGTGATGCGTTCTGAGAGATATTTTGCAGTATCTGTAGATACTGTTTTTAATCACCTGTGTTTTTTGCTTAATTTTTATTTTTGGGGAGGAAGCAAGTAAGTTATTTATTTATTTATTTTTTATTTATTTATGGGGGTGCTGGGGATTGAACCCAGGACCTTCTGCATGCAAAACATGTGCTCTACCACTGAGCTGTGCCCTCCCTCCTCTGTAGATAATTTTGGTTGTCAGAACTGGGAGAGGGTGGTTTTGCTATTCATGTCTTACACGTCAAGGCCAGGAATACTGCTAAATACACCTTACAATGCACAGGACAGTCTTCCCTCCTCCCCAAAAATCACAAAAAAACAATCACCTGGTCACATGTCAATAGGGTCAAGATTGAGAAACTGTATATAGAAATTACATCAGTGTTTATATTTATACAGTATATATTACAACATATATAGAATTTGCTTTGTAGAATATTTCTCTTCTTTGTACTTCTCCAAGGAACCCTTTTTCTCTGACTGTCTTCTATAATTTTTTAGTTCTTTCTTTCCTCTTTCCTCAAAAAATTGTATCTTACACTCTCTCCTCTGATAGATATGTTCATAAGAATTATTTTTGCTATATTCTTATTCTGTGATATGTCTTATCTTTCCCATAGTTACATATCCTATAGATAAAGTTAATGGAAATGGACATTTATTGATAATTTTTGTTCTTTGAAGGCAAATAGTCCAAGTAAATTGTTTTTAATTTTGACCTAACCACAAGTTTACAAAACCAGAAACTCCATATCTGAGATCTGGATTCCTACATTTTTTAAAACCTGCCACAGATTATTCTAGAGTAGAGATGATTCTAAGCTCCCTGTTCTAAGCCCCGTAAACTTGCATGATTTTAGCTTTGAGAATGTATCCTAGTGAGCCAAAGGCAACAAG